TGATTCAGTCTCATACTTGTTTAAGTATGCACAATTGCCATGAAAAATCTAACTGATGACTGTGTCTTCTGATATTAACCTATTGTGACTACAACTTTATTATAGGAAAGGACCAAGGAATTGCAAAAGGAGTTGGTTCTTTTACTCAGGTACGTACCATCTTGTCAAGAGTCATTAAAACTTAATAACTGGAATTACTGTTGCATTCAGATTCCTTAACCAAGTAGCATCAATTCTATCAGTTATCAAAATCAGTAATCAAGGGGGAATTTTGTTAAGTCCGTTTGTCAAATATATCTATTATTAGAGTCTCGTTAAAAATTAAATTAATACCCTCACTCTTCGAGTCAAATAAGGACTACTTCCCTTTAAAGCCATCTATTCGGCCCCTCTCAAATTCACTGTTTCCCTTAAACCCTAAGCAAGAAACAAAGCAAATCATCTTGTCTCCTCTTCATCATGACAAGTCCCAGCCAGGCTCCCTAAAAAAAATCATCCTCAAAACCTAGTTCTAAATCCAAAATTGAGAAGTCTAAGCCAAAGAAAAGTGTAAAATCGGAAGTTAGTTTTGGACCATTACCTGCTACTTCTCAAACCATACCTTCTGATTTCACTACACCACCACCAATAGTCACTTATCCACCTCCATCCTTTGCCACCTTTGTACTTCCATCTCCAAAAAAACCATCCATGTAATTGTAACTACCCTGCAGATCACCTCTAAACCGATAAAGGTCAAGGCTACTTTAAGAAAATCAGTAAAAAGTGGAAAACTAGTTGACAGTGTTCTTTCTGAGGGGAACCAGAAATTATGGTGTTTATTGCTCTAGGTAACCTAAAATTGATAATGATGCTCAGATAAAACCTTCCCCATCAAAACTTAATGTTCTCACATCTTCCATAGATGTGTCCCCTTTAGATTTTGTTGAACCTCTGAGAGATACAACACATGTAGAGACCATTATGGTAGAAAAGGAGGTTGTAGCACAGCTTGCAAACTTTGCAGACCTGCCTATGGTCGAGGGGGAAGGTGAGAAAGAAATAGGGGATAATGAATGTTCTAATAAAAACACTTATAGCTGGACTGATGAGGAGGGTGAGGAGGGTGAGGAAACAAATATAGATAGAGAAGGGGAAGAAGAGAAAAATTACAATTCTAAAGTGAAGAAACATGAGGAAGAAGGTGAATCAGAAAGGAAGAATGAGGGTGAATCAGAAAAATAATAGGGTGAGCAAGTGGGAGATTCAGAAAAAGAAAAGGGAAATGAGGGAGAAGAAGACTTTGACATTGAGGAAGAAGATGAGAGTCAAGAATCTGAAGGCTCTATGACTATTGGAAATACAGTCATGGACCCTTTAGAAGAAGTTAATGAAGAGGAAGTTTCGGAGGAACCAAGGCCTTCCTTAACTCCCGTGGTGGGAGATGGGGAGTTAAAAATAATGAGGATGACTTGCGACTATCTGAAATGGGAAAGAACAAAAAGGAAAGACCCTGCAAAACCTACAAGAACAACTTCTAGGCAAAGAAGGAAATGGCTCCTCCTACTAGAACTCCTCTCACCAGGAGCAAGAGAAAGGTTGTTGATGCATAACTGATCAAGGAAGCTAGGAGTGCCAAAAGGACAAAGAAGTCAGTTAGTGTCGCTGAAGTTGTTGTTGAGTTAGACGAGGATGATGAACCTGGTTCTTCCCTTAAAGGCAAGAAATGATCAGTGAAGAGGATTGTTGTCAAACCCATCAAAGCAACTGCCTCCACCTCTTAAAAGAAGATTAGATGGAAGAAGATAAATATTGAGTCAGAAGTAGTTGACACGATGACAAAGTTCAAAAATAGAAAAATCTTGAATGGGAAGATACTAGCCAACACTGATGAAAAGGGTATGGCACATAGTTGGTAGAGAAGGTTGACATGCAGGGATGAATACACATATTTCTGAAATCTTTTCTCCCTATGTATCTACCTACAATGTTTGAGTTCTATGACAATTTTTAATTTGATGGTAAAGCGGTGAAGAGTTCTATGAGACATTTTGAGTTGGAGTTTGATGCTGAAGAACTTGGGCTGCTACTGAACATCCCTTCCTTGGGATTTGAAAATTATTTGAATAAAAAATGGCCAACAATTGACAATGATGTGGATAGAGGGATTGTCCTTACCAGAATGTTTTCCCAGAAATTTTAACTGGATGCTCCTCAAAGGGTGAAAGGTGTATAAGACTGATATGACACCTTTTCATAAGTTGTTATTCCATTTTGTGAATTCTTGCATTCTGTAGAGGTCTGAAAGAAAACATGAGGCCACCCTGCTTGATATGGTTGTGATGGAGATGTTGGAAACGAGTAAGGACATCAACCTTCCTAGTTTGATGATCCAACACATGGCAAGGGATGCAGACATATCCAAGCGTAAGCATGCTATGCCCTAGGGTTTCATGTTGACTGGGTTGTTTGACAAGATCAATATCTCCCGGCCTGAGTTGATTTTTAGCAATCACAATGATGTTCTAGATGTAGTAACACTCAGACAATGTGGTTATGGTGAGATCAAGGCTAGAGATCCAATTGGAACTGCAATGTTGCCTGGAAGCATCAGGGCTGCTGAGCTTTCTAAAAGGTTGGAGTTGTCTTTGGAGAAAAATGCTAAACTCAGGAAGGATATTTATGTACAGAGAAAGGAAACCAAGGAGCTTAGGAAAGAGTTGAGAAAAGACAGAGAGGCTCATGCACAACAAATTGCTACTCTCGTGAAGGCCTTGACCCCATCTACCTCTCATCATTGACTTTGTTCCTTTTTCCCCATGTCGTGTGTCTAATTTTAGTTGCCCAGTGGTGCCATATCTTTTACTTTTTGTCTAGTTTTGATTAGTATGCAGAAAGTTCTAGTTTATTTTGTTTTAATGCTTTTGGATCGAAGCCTTTGGCTTAATTTTGCACTACTAAATCAATTTTCTTATGTTGCTTACATGCTTCTCACATGGTTAATATCATCAACATCATTCATTTTGCTTTAATTTTTCTTGTGATTGTTATGTAGCCTCAGTGTCCATGAATCCTTATTATATGATTGCTTAGTTTATCTTACAACATTTTTAATTTTTTTCAATAATGCCAAAAGGGGAAGACAATATGTGAGGGGAAGGGGTCGGGGGAGGTTGTCTGTTCTCAACAATTGATGAATGTTGTTTCTACTTAAATGTTATGTCTGTTTACATACGTTATCACCTAGTTCATGAGTACAAAGTTTGTCATCATCAAAAAGGGGGAATTTCTTGAGATTTGAGTTTTGATGATTAACAAGTGTGTCCAATGAACATGTGCTAAGAACCAGGTTCTCACAGTAGCTGCTGAAGGTCCTTACATGGCAGTAACTTTTATACAAAGTTACTGCAGTCTGATATTACTGGAAAGACTCTTGATGCCATAAGGGTTGTTGCCTAAGAATATCTAGCAGAACGAGTTACAAGGTTTATAAAGTCCTTATGATTTTAGGACTGGTAAGTAAAAGAGAGTTTGAGTACACGTAGGACTCCCAAAGATCTAGGAGCATTGGGAAATTAAATACCTTGCCTATGGAGTGTTGAAGACTATCCATTCACACCTTGAATGAAGAAAAGCGCCATAGCAATTTCAGTTCAAAACGCACGTCAGGTGTTTTGTGAAGTGGTTCTGAAATTTATTTTCTTTTCGTCTTGAGCCAGTTTAGTTCATATGTATTAGGAGATTGAGTTGTAATCATAATATCTTTCAAACAATGTTAGTTAAAGTATTGTCTGAATTTGCAAGTTAGAGTAACTTGCAATCTTCATACAACAAGTAGAAGTAGGAAAGTGTGGAGGCATATTAGGTTACAAGTGTTGTAATCAGTATACTTGGCTCAGTTGTTCTAGTGAAGTTTAAGTTAAAATTTTACGTGATAGGTGGTAATTTTTTGCACCTTTGAGTCGGGTGATTTTGTACACAGAAATTGTTGTTTTTACTTTACTGTTTAGTTTATTTATGCGTAAGGGGTAAGATAAAGAACCAAGTTCTTTAGTAATTTAGGATCTGCTTCTCGACCGTTGATCTGAATGTCTCTCTCCATAAGACAGTCAATTTTATCTTTCGTTTCCTCATCTGGCATGGATTGTCGTTCATATGTGGAGAGGAGACTAATCACCCTTATGTTGTGAAATCCCTGTATTGAGACCTTTAAATTTAGTGGCAGAAGACTAATATGATCAATGGTTTTAAAAGTTTCTTCTGCCATGAATAATGGATGTTTGAGGCAGTTACTCCTTTGATGTGAAGAAACCGGGGACCAGATTAATATTCCAAGAAGGAATTACACTTTTTGATCATCGTTTCTGGAGAGACAGAGAAAGATTTAAAAAAGAAATTTGAGAAACTTCGACTGAGATGACGGAAGACAACAAAGTAAGCTGAGTCATAATATTATACTAAATTATAGTGTCACAATAATAAAATTCCATAAAACAAGTACGGCTAATAAGTCATGAAAGAACTTAATTGAATTTCTTTAGTTAGTGTTGGTTTTGATTTGATTTTAATTTAGCTTGGAATTTATTTGAGTTGCTGTCTAATGGACACTTATGGACCAGTCAAAAATTCGACTCTGAACCTAAATTATTATGTTAAAAGACATGAAATGGAAAAGTTTAAGAAATAATAAATTACATTATACTAAAAGATATTTTACAGATAATATGTTTTTAAAATTGTATACATGTAAAAGATAATATGAGCCGAGGGTCTATTGGAAAACCTGCATTAGGTAGGGGTAAAATTGGGTTTTTTATTGTTGTTGTTAATATTAATTGAGTTTTTAGTGTTGTTAATAACACTAAACAAAATCAATTATGGTAAAAAATATCTCTTCAATTAACCAAAGTAATCAAACCATTACTCTTTTTCATTTCCGATTTAACTTGGAATTGTTTTCTTTCTACGCCCAAGCCAAGAGGCAGAAAATATAAATACAAGAGTTCCGGGTCCCATTTCCCAGTTAGAATAACCACTTTTCGTCCAGTATAGCTATTATCTCTTCCATCTCAGATTAGAGCAGGAGAAACCCTAAGCGGTATCGGACCGATGGATATACTGAAACAGGAATTGGAGAAACGACGGCAAAGCTTAGCCCAAGACGTTGGTGGCCGGAAAGTTTTCAAGCGATCGGAAATCGAACAGAAACGCCTCCAGAGAATTCGCGAAGAGGAAAAACGTGAAGCCGAAGCCAAATCCCTCCGTCAAAAGCAATTAGAACAGCAACAGAACCCTACCGATAAATCCTCGTCAAAATCAAACTCCAAAACCGACATCCAATCCCTCAAGCAGGATTCATCATCTTCTTCGGCTTCCAAAGCACTAACCGACGAGCAAAAAATCGATGATTTAAACCTTCCGCGACAGGAGGTGATTCGCCGCCTTAGGTTTCTGAAACAACCGGTGACTTTGTTCGGAGAAGATGATGTGGCGAGGCTCGATCGGTTGAAGTTTGTATTAAAAGCTGGATTGTTTGAAGTTGATGATAGTGACATGACTGAGGGACAAACAAATGATTTTCTGAGAGATATTGTGGAATTGAAGAAACGGCAGAAGTCAGGCATGTTGAGTGAGAGGAAGAGGAAGGTGCCGACGGAGGATGCCGGGGAGGATAAAGATGGTGGAGGAGGTGATGAAGATTTGAGTGGAGATGGAGAAGAGGATGTGGATCATGATAAGGATGTGAAGAGGATGAAGACGAATTTCGAAGAGTTGTGTGATGAGGATAAGATTTTGGTGTTCTTTAAGAAGTTGTTGAATGAGTGGAATCAGGAGCTTGCTGAGATGACTGAGGCTGAAAAGCGGACAGCTAAGGGGAAATCAATGGTTGCTACTTTTAAGCAATGTGCTAGGTACCTGAATCCTTTATTCAAGTTCTGCAGGAAAAAGGTATAATTGCTGCACCTCCTTTTACTTGCTTGCTTTCTTTAGATGCTATAGTCTATATCTCCAAAACCTGAAGCTGCAAACACAATTATTTTTTAAGAGTTGAAGTTCTATAAACTACCAATGTAAAAAATTTACACAATCAGGTCGCTTATTACATTTTAAATCTCTTGATAAGCATTCATGGGTAATATGATAAACATGGTAATTAACCTGCTGTCACGAGTTACATTCACCAAAAGTGTAAAAGAATCTTTGCACATATAACTTAAATCCTTTTTATAAACATAATTGCTTGACATTAAAGCTCAGTTAGGAATTTACTCAACTGGACTGAATTTCAGCATGTGAAATGGGTCTCAGGTGGATCTAATTAATGAAAGATTGATGATGCAATTTGGTATGGAATGTGGTCTATGTGGGAGTTTTAATTGTGATATATAGATTATGGTATGCTGTAGAAGCCCCTGGTTGCATTTAGTCGTGGCGTATTTTAATCAAATAAATGAAGTCATCATAACCGGAGTTGATTTTGATGATTTGTTTTGAAACTTGATTGAAATCGATCTTGAAGATTTATGATCTCTTGTTCTTCCAAAAATTTACTTGTTAGTGGTGGAATAGGAAGTATTATGGACCATTGACAAAGGATAGGTGCATATTCTTACTGTAGATCCTGTGTTAGGTCTTGCCTACACATCGTCTCATCTGACATAATGGGCATTGGAAAACCTGAAAGAGAAGAATCACAGCATTCTTTTTACAAGAAGTTGTTGTCTTTACTCTGATCGTCTCTCATGTCATCCATGGTTGAATAGATGATAGGATAAACTAATTATCCGTTGGCCCGTTCTCTTGTGATTAAGGATGTTATATTCCAAGGTAGCAATAGTATAACGATATGGAAGAGTAATAGTTCATAGAATTTGAAGACAAAGAAAATGTCCCTGTATACACAAAGCATAAAAGGATTAGAACATATTTCTTCTGTATATAAATATTCAAGGATCCACGTATTACTTAAGTTAATTATCTTAGTTGTCAAAAAAAGTTAATTATCTTACTGAAAAATATAGCATTGAGTTAATTAATAGATGCATATGTACTGTGCACGAGAACACACCTCATCTGTTATCCTTCATGTGATAATGATAACCCTATAGATGATGATTAGTTAAGTAGTGTAGAGGATATTAAGTTTCTAAGCTTTGGCACTATGCGCATTGAACTTTTCATTGAAAGCAATTAGATATGTCTGCCTTTAAAAAGGAGTAACAAAGAAACCATTTCCTAGCTTCACAAAGTTAAAATGAAAGGCCGCACATGATTAACTCGCATGAAGCACAAGGACCACATGGGATAGGAAGAGTTATATAATTGAGAAAGTAAATTAGCACTACATTGTGGATGACATAATGGAAGTAAATACAGAGAGAACGATGGTGGAGATTGCTACATCGTGGATGACATAACGGAAGTAAATATATAGAGAGAACGAGGTGGGGGTTGCTACATCGTGGATGGAATAATGGAAGTAAATATAGAGAGAACGAGGGTGAGGAAATTTTACATTGTGGATGACATAATGGAAGTAAATACAGAGAGAACGAAGGTGGGGATTGTTACGGTTACAAAACCCACTCTGTCCGATGCTTGCATGGGGGTTTTATAGAGTAAACCAAAACTATTATGTTTAATTCTAAGATGAGCTTAAATGGAGCCACATGTCAATGAGGATTCATATGGCCTATCTCAATCATGAGATTGAGGTATAATAGTTGTTGTTGAAGGGTTTAGTTGTTACTTTAGTGGATGCTGAACCAGCACCTCCGGTTCTCTCTCTTTACTCAATAAAATCCACAAGCAGTTCACTAATTTTGTAAAGCCAAATATATCGAATGTGACGATTCGTCTATTAGCCTACTTATGTGAGAAAAGTTGATTATTAGAACTTAATTTCTAATGGTCTGTTATTGAGCTAAGTGATGACATAGGAGGTATATATATAGTTGGAAAGCTAATATATATCACTTTATCTTCTGTTTGTCCATTATATTGTGTATATGGTTGAGCTGTGATCGGAAATAGCCTCTCTACTCCTCCGGAGTAGGGGTTGGTCTGCGTGCACACTACCCTCCCCATACCCCACTTGTGGGATTCCACTGGGTTGTTGTTATTGTTGGTTGAGCTGTGCTGCTGATTTATCTCCTCAAATATCACTCAATCCGTATAAGTTCGCAACCTGAGCTGAATATGCTGGTAAAGTGGAATTGCGTGCAACTCAATAATTCTGATGAGGAGATCTTTACTGCTGCTGTTGTCTTCTTTCCTTTTTTTTTTTTTAAATAAATTAGTTTGAACCAACATGTTGCTTTCATCTTCTCTTTTAAGATTCTTATTCAAATTACTTGTTCTGCATGGGAAGCTTATTTTGTCATGGTGTACTTGTTGTGTGCCTAGTTACTTCCTGATGACATTAGGCAAGCACTACTTGTGGTCGTCGAATGCTGTATGAAGAGGGACTATCTAGCAGCAATGGATCAGTACATTAAGATGGCAATTGGTAATGCACCTTGGCCTATTGGTGTTACTATGGTTGGTATTCACGAGCGGTCAGCTCGTGAGAAGATTTACACAAATAGTGTTGCGCATATCATGAACGACGAAACAACTAGGAAATATCTGCAGTCAGTTAAAAGACTGATGACCTTCTGTCAACGACGGTACCCAGCAATGCCATCCAAAGCTGTGGAGTTCAATAGCCTTGCAAATGGTAGTGACTTGCAGTCACTGCTTGCAGAAGAAGGGACATCTGGAGGATCTCAAACCTCAGAGGAAAGGCTTCGAATAATGCCTGCATAAGGGATGTTCTGCAGAAATCTATCAATTAATTTGCCTTGGGATTCTGGGTTTTTCATATGTTGATTCTCAATGATGTAGCTGAATTGTGGCCCGAGTCAAGGCCTCCCCTGCAACGCCTTGCACAAAGGGAGGAAAAACAGCAAAAGATATTCAATGTCCTTGATTGTAACTTCTAAAACTGGATCGTATGTAGAGAAACCTTCCCTGCAGTTCTGCATTTGAGTAATTCCGACTGAAATTAAATATTATCATGTATCATACTTCAGTGGATTGGATTTTGGGCATGCGTAAATATTGAACTAATCAAATGATAATCCAGTGACGCTTTGTTTTTAACCCAAAATGCTTCGACTCTGAAAAGAAAATACACATGGAACAGGAGTCACGTTTGTTTTAGTCGCTTGTATGTTTTTAATTCGTGAGGTATTGTTTTCTTTCCTTGTTTCTGAATAAAATAATTTAATGTTAATATAATAGTACGTCGTATGTATTGCAAGAAAAACTTTCAAGAACGGAAGCACAGGCACGCTAGCAAATATCAATATCCATGCATATTTAGCATGTTTAAGTACCGTTGTTACAGTGGATGCAAAGCTAATAGCAATAAACATGCCGAGCCAAAGATAATGGATGCATCGTCAACGACAAAGAGGACAGTTGGAATATCAATTTATTTATGCATCAATTGTGTGGTAGTTCATGCTTTTTGTGTTTTGCTGAGCGGAAGGCTAGGGTACTTTGCCTCTAATACTTTTTATGTCGAGAATATATGTTATGGTGACCAAATGCCTAGCTCATAGTGCTTTAGTGTTCGTGAATCGCAGAGCATATAGAAAGTATTGGAGGCCAAAGTTCTAAGTCCCAGGATTCGGATAATACTTGCATTATACGAATGATTCCACATTCCGGTATAAATGGAATAACTCTTTAAAAGAGAAAGTAAAATCCAATTTAAAAAGAAAGATAATGCTCCCTGTGTTCTCTTTGAAACAAAAATGAATTGGCAAATTTTGAGAAAGTATGGACCTAAGCGTAATAAAAGGTGTCACACCTCCTTTTTTACCCGCCCGCGGGGAGGATATACGAGAGTTTTTCCAATTAAAATGACATGATTCGAAATGAGATTATTTTATTTAATTTATTAGAGTCGCCACTTGGAATAGTTTATTTTTGGTATCCCAAATCACCGGTTTATTTTAAAATCCCAAATTGAGGAAATTTTCGACTTTATTTAAAAGTCTGCGAAGCAGAAATTCTAGATAAGGAATTCTGTTAACCCGGGAGAAGGTGTTAGGCATTCTCGGGTTCCGTGGTTCTAGCACGGTCGCTTAGTGATTTATACTTGGCTTAAATTGTCTAATTACTTATTTTAGAACCTATGTGCATTTAGCTTTTTACCGCTTTTTAATTGCTTGATTATTCGTAATTAAAGAATTGAGTCACGCCTGCTCGTTTCGTTTGGCGCCTCAAAAATTATGCCACGCGTACGTATCCACAACCAATCATGCTTTATTAATTATTTAGAAAGTTTGGTTGAAGTTGTCAAACGCATCCCTCGATTTATTTTTAGAATGAAATTCGTAATTATGTTACGCGAACGTATACATAATCACGATAATAATCTAAGTCGTGCCTAAAGCAAGCTAACAAGTGTTTAAGGTTATTTAATATCTAAGTTGTAATACTAATATGAGGGCCATAGATGATTCAATGATAGATGGCGCACCTCGATTTTAGCAGAGTAGGATTTAATTAAAGTAATAGAAGGATATTCTTACTTACAATTATTTTAGACTTAAATATCAAGCTATTAATTATAGGTAGGGAAATATAAGGCAGGTCTTTAGCTATTGGCAAAAAATCGGGCCAGCAGTAGGTCTGATATATTAATAAGGGCGATTACTAAAAGAAAATAAGGCTGATACCAACTGAGCTCGAAAATTGAGCCCAAACATAAGACAAAGGAGGATGGAAACAAAAGAGGTCTGTTTTCGGCTTGGCAGCCTGATTTGGGCCATTGCCAGGCCCAAAGCACCACAAACACCCAATGTCTGCTAATGCTTAACTCATCACAATTCGTGTATAGTCATATTTGCACCAATTATAAGTGAAATGCCTAACATGTTGGGCCTTAAATATTTATCATACCTTTAATAATAACAAACAAAAATCTGAATCTTTAAAACTGTTCCTAAATCATTGTAGATGGTTACTTAAAAATGCTGGAATTAGCAGCAGTAAGAAAAGCTGAACATGCTTAAAGCTGTACATTGCATTTTCAACATGCATAATTCTTTTGAACACTGTAGATACGCTAAAAGACTACAATAGTTGCTAATGAAGGAATAGGAAAATACAATCATTTTACACACTGTAGTAGTGCTAAAACACTTCAACCAAATGTACTCAAGCATCAATCATGGGCTATTTTGAGTATACCTAGCACTTATCCAAATACTCAAGCATGAAAAGCTCATATATTACCAAACAATAAATTTAAAATACTGGACAGAATCACATGGAAGTAGAAAAGACTGAAAGTTAACATTTTAAATTAGACTACTTAACCTAAACTCAGCATATGCAAGAGGTGCTATTCAAATCCTTCAACACTAAACATCCTGGCTATTTCATGAATCTACACAACAAAAACTTTAATGTAACTAAACAGAAACTAATAAGAAGAAAGCAAAAAAAGAACAGTATTCGAATGACTCGGAAGTAAACATCAGAAAGAAACAAAAAATGTAAATATAACTCCAAAACTCCATGGAAGCAATACACTCTTCAAAACAAGCTTTCATTCATAATTTAAGGCTCAAGATATACCTGGTTACAAAGAATAAGAATAAGGTTGTGAATCTTCAAGGAAAAAACAGTAAGAACAAAGCAGGAAACCAATGAAACTAGCAGCAAAAACTAGCCGTATCACAACATTCAACCTCATACCATCTTGCAAATCAAGAACCCAGAAATTTCAAAAGAAAAATTTATTCTAACTTAGGTCGAAATCAGAAAAGAAATTGATCAGTTATCAATGGAACAGTAGCTGAACGTTTTAGTGCTTTTTAGGTTTCTGAAAATCTGATGAGCACGTATATGAGTGAGTGCTTTTCTTTTTATAAAGTGCACAAAAATGTATAAAAAATGGAACCTTCTGATATTTAACCTATATAGTCCTAGAACCTTTTTAGCATCTTTTGTTAAACATGGGGACAACTGTCCAAAGTCCTAGAACCTTCTGATATTTAACCTATATAGAACCCAATTTTACCCTCTCATTTGCTGGATTATTTCAATCCCCACCAATTCTAACGTAAATTCAGCTTGTTTGATTACTCATTAGTCCCTTCTAGAAGCTTCTGATATCAAACCCTTATCTCATTTCCCAATTGGCCCCCTTTTAGGTTCTTGTTATTACTATTTCAGACTTCTGATTTCCAATTTAACAAAATAAGGTAGCAAACACACATTAGACCTCTAAACAAACCAAGACATCATGTGGTCACAACCTTAAGGCTAATTAAACAAACTTGTAATCTGAATTAACTAATCATACATTTGAATAATCTAAATACAGAAATTATTTTAATTAAATTGGTTCAAACTAAATTAAAAGAAGAGAGGTCGACTAAATAACAATGTTGTTAACTAGAAGACTATGCAACTAAATTTGAACTAAAATTCTATTGTAGTGCAGTAGTCAAGTAAAGCTAAAAAAAGAAAAGAAAAATAAAGATGGACTTGAAACCTAAAACAGTATTGCAGAAATAATAACACATGAGTAGAAACAGAAAAGAAAAGGGAAAGAAGAACAAACGACTAGGAGATTAAGTAGGTAACTGAGGCGGGTGCATGAGCTGTGTAAGCCTCAGAGCTTTGGCTGGCCACTAGGTGCTTGGTCAGAGTCCAGCAGGTCTTGAAATAAACTAAAACTGACGCTAATCAATTGTTATTGTCAAGAACAATCGATTAGCATAAACTTTGGCTCAAATCGAGCCTTTGAAACCATAAAAAACGAAGAGAAAAGGACAGTTTAGGGTTTTGGTTTTCTTTCAGAGTTTTAGATCTGAAATTGGAGCAAATGGGTAAAGATTTTGGAGAAATCGATGATAGATATAGCATGAGGAGGTTATGGTGGTTATCTGCTGTTAATTTAGTAGAGTTTGGAGGTGGTCCACCGCTGTGAGGCAATTTCCGGTCGACGGACCACGGCGGAGATGGCGAGGGTAAAAGGGGCGGCTAGGGTTTCTCATTCGAGAGTGTTTGAGAAGGGAAATGGACTGATGTTAGAAGTTTGGGGGGGGAGGCTGACTAGTTTTAGGATAGTTATATTACCATTGATTGCCTAGTTCCGAGCCGTTGGATCAAAAGAATCCAATGGCTGTGATTGAAAGACAAAGAAACAACGTCGTTTCGGGTTAGTGAGGGGTTGGACCTGGTAAGGAATTTTGGGCCTGGGTTCTGGATGTATTTGGGAACGGGTTTAGGCATAAAAATCAGTCCAAATTTAATTTTAAACTCTTTCTTCAATTAATCCTTTTATTTCCTTTTTCCTTGGTTTCTCTTTTTCTTTTTCTTTAATTAATAAAAAAAATCCTAAACTAAACCCTAAATTAGTCTAAGATGTAAAATTAAACTAATTATCTAATTATAAAATTTATAAAAATTACTTGATCCTAAATTAAAAGAGAAAAATCACTAATTTAAAATTTAAAAGGTAAAAATGTAAAAATGAGCCATTTTTGTGATTTTTATTTTTAATAAAATAATTAATTAACTAATTAATCTTAAAAATATAAAAACAAAAATCTAAATGCAATGCATGATATTTTTGATATTTTTTGTGGTTTTAAACAAAATTAAACGTGCACAAAAATGCAAACAATTAATAAAATCCTACAAAAATCCTATAAAATGGCAAGTAATTGAAAAAAATCTATTTTCTTTGATTTTGTAGGAGTAATTCATATAGGGCAAAAATTACATGCTCACAACTGCCCCTCTTTGCTCAAACACGAAGGGTTTTAGGGCAAAGATAAAACGAGCAATTACGATCTATTTTTGCTTGTTTGAAACTGCATGAGAAACGTCTTTTGAAAAAGTCTGACCGAACCTTGTTTTGGAGGTTGCCTACATATCCTTGGCTATAAAGGAATCAGGTCATTGTAGTTTTGGAAGTTTTAGTAGTTGGGACTACCGGAAAACTGTGATTTCACTGCTGCTGCTGTTTCTGCTTGCTTAGCTCCTTATTACACCAAAAATGAAAAATCAAAAACTAAACTAGCTAAGCGTATCAACTACGAGTTACAAGATTCCTATCTATAAACCTTCTA